AGCATTACACTCAATAAAATAAGCAACTAAAACATCATCTTCCAATATTCTCGCACCAAGTACATTTAAAAATCAGGCTGTGTTGGGGTCTAACACAGCAATGAATACCCTGAGACAGGAATGAGACTAGATTTTGGGAAATCAGAGGGATTAATGCCAATGCTCACAGCAGATTGAGTCCTTTCCATGGGGGGATTCAAACCTTGCTGCTCCGAAAGAATTAACACGCAGACCACAAACCCAGCATGTGTTACACAAGATAAAAATGGATGTTCATTCTAAATCATGATGGGTACAAATAATATTATTTTGAAAACTTAAGGGAACTATTATAACAGCTTATACCCAGCTGTTTATGAGCTCGCAGAGGAGCTAAAAGGATGACTACACAGCTCATGCAGGCTCTGCTGTTTTAGAGTTGGGGTCAGTTGCTAACTCGGCTTCTGTCTTCCAAAAAATTCTTTACTGTCAACAATAAATAGCTGTTCTTTGTTGGACTTCTGCATACACCTGCCTTTGCTGGTGATGAGAGGTGCATGTACGGAGTCGTATCGTGCTCTGTGTCAGAGTGGGTACTTGGTTGCCATGGCTGATGTCTGAAGCGTGAAGGTGTTGCGCCATGAGGGTGGTATTGTGTTGGGTTTTGAGCCTTAGGTTACAGATGAAGAAAAGTTTGATTTATTTGTTCTGGATATTTATAGAGATTTATTTATATGAAATGACACTGAAGTACTCACAGTAAGCAGGCTATTTTCGCCCTTCCTCCCCGTTTGAGGGGTCTGATTTGGTGAAGACAGGAGACCTTGGACTGTGCTGCAGTCAGCAGAGGAGGAGGATCTCCTCTGGGATGTTTGTGCACCTATCTGATGTCTAATTGCCTTAGTCTGCTCCATTGCCAGCAGCATATCTGAAGACCTTTCTGACTGATCTCCATGCCTAGCTATGGCCATTGAGGTATACGTATATAGATATATGGAGGCTATTATAGGCTTTAGGCTGCTGGTTGCTTTAGAGAGGACAACACTTGGGAGCTACTCCCTGCGGGGGTATATCTGCAAAGGCAGGGGTGCAGGGGCTGCAGTGAGCAGCTGGAGCTGGCCCAGGGATTGCGCCAGGCCCACAACATCTTTTCAGCAGGTTTACATGAATGTATGCAGTATTTTCTCTTCTATTTCCCAGCATGACAAATGATTTTGAAATAGCAGCAAAAAGTTCTTTCAGGTATAGAGTGAAGAGTTTAAAAGAGGAAGAGCAGGTTTTTATAGAAATCTGCACCTCTGTGTAATAAAATATCGAACATTATGTAGTGAATTCAGCCTAGTGAAGTGAATTCAGCCTCATTTGTAGTCCTTTTAAGGTCAGAGGGTGATAATGTAAAGGAAAACCTATCTAGACATTTCTTCAGGCATTGCAGTTACTTCATTAGCCTTTATTTTGTCTCACTTCTGCTTTCTGACAGCTTTTCAAGTCTCAGGTTCTTCCTTTTTGAAACACTTTGATGTGCTCATCTGTCTGACAAACTGTTTAAGGTCTTGATCTTAATTTAACATTTGTAGATACCCACAGAGAATTTTGTTAATGAAGTCTTTAAAATACTAAATGAAGTTCTAGTTTTCTTCATGAATAAAGTTTTATCCTTGCCATTATTTTTCCTTTGGAATTATGTTCCTATTTAACATCTAGGAAATCTTTATTCCTACAAAGCAACAAGGGGCTTTTAGGGTTAGATGTGTAATTAAATGAGGATTTTATATTTCTTTGGGGGGCCTTTTGTTAAAAGAATAGGAATATGACATAATTGAAAAGGTCTTTTCAATGAAAGAAGCCTTTGATACCACAGAGCCATGAGAGCAAGTGGTTGCCCAACTTGGATTAGGCATGCTCCAGTAAATTGATGCATAGTACAATGTTTCCTGGATTAAAGCTGTGATTTTCCCTATCTCAAGTTTGGTGTAAGGTAATGAAATTGAACTGAGGGCTGCTCATAAACTATATTAATTAATTTTGGAGCTACTGACAATTATAGCAATCTGAATTCCTGAATCTGTAATATAGGACTGATGGGAATAATTCATTGCAATGTTGTAGCCTGATTTGGCATTTCAGATCTGTAATACAAGACGTAGCAGTTTTAAAAGCCTCCTTGAGGCAAAAGGAAGGGACGTATATAAGAGGAAAAGGCTGACATTAAGAGGAAGAAAATGTTTCCAAAAGGCCTGTGAAACGAGGAAGCCACATCTGCCTTACTGTTAAGAATATTTGGGGCTATTAGGAGAGCCCCGCTGCGGTGCTTAGGGATCCTTTGCAGCCTGGAGGAGAGACCAAACCGAGAAGAGCAGATGAGAGAGGAGCACATCCACACTGTCCTCTTTGCCTCCACTGACATTGGCATACACACAATTGCAGTGTAGTCTGAAACTTTTCTACTTGGATCACACAAAATATTTCTTTGCTATAATAATGTTTGCATATAAAAAAAAAAAAAAGCAAAAATAAAAATTCTGGTAGCAGCTTTCCTGGCAGTGTGAACAGCATAAATGTACGGCCAGTTTTAAGGCATTTGTCACAACCTTGGTCACAGCAGACTAGTCAAAATGTGATCTCTTTTTGAAAAGCAAAACCAATCTTTTTTTTTAAGGAGAAACTTTAGGGGAAAAAATACTTCTGGAATGTAGAATTTGCTATTGCTTTTAATCTGCCAACAACGGGCAGTGTTCTGGTTGTTTCGTTTTTTTCTTTTTCCTAAGTGCTTTCACCCACAAATGAAATAATGTAAATAATTTATTTACATTATCTAAAATAATGTAAAGTAATTCCATTTGGCTAATGTGTTGATTCTTCTTAATTTTGAAAAGGAAAATATTTTGCCTCTTGTTGAAGTTAAGACTCAGCATGCACAGCCCTGCCACTAAAAGGGAGACCTTTAAATCTTAATGCAGGCTCATTCTTTAGATAGGGACTGAGTGATCTTTAAAAGTGAGCAAGCTGCATCAGGACAACATGGTTCATTAAAGTCCATTTAGAAAATTCATTTTAACACTAGGCATCCTGTCCCTTTTATCTCCCAAGGAAAAACAATAAAAGTTTCATCACATACAAGTAAATACATATTTAAAATGTATTATGGAAATAAATAATCTTCATGTTTAATTCATCTCCTTGTATAGTAATTGATGTCCAATAGGGATTCTGACCAGGCATTAGGTAGGACCAGCTTCATCACAACACAGTGTAGCATTGGATGTGTGAGTCTCAATTGTCCATAGTGGGAATTTTATCAAAGGAATTGAAATAAAAATTATTTTCAGAAGAGTTATGAAAGATCTTTTCTAAAGAGTTCATCTGTTTTCCGAGCAGTGCAGTCTTGGCACACACTCAGAAACCCATGACTCAGCACCTTTATATTGAGGGGGTTTTAATGGTTCTTTTAACGACTTCTGTAAGTTTTATTCATTTTAGGATCATATTATTTTCAGTTGTTGGTTCTCAGCCATGGAGAATAACCTCCTCCCCCCTGCTCCCAATATTACAAAAATTGAAATTTCCACTTGGTTGTTTGATTACAGAATATGAGTCTTGTGAGACTTGTAATGTTGTGGACATTTACACCACCAGTAAATCCAGACGTAAAATTCAAGTGTTAGGCAGCTCCTACGCCCTGTGCCTCTTAAGGCTGCTCTTAATTCCCTTTTTGCACAAATGAACGTGCCAAGCATGCAGTGTTTGTTATGCCATGGTAAATCCCATGGGGAGCCAGTCCTTTTGCCCGGTGCCTGGCCTTTCCTTGGCTCCGTCTCCTCCACAGTGTGGCTTATCTGTGCAACATTGTGCAGCCTTCTGAAATTGTGCAAAACCTTTAAATAAATGTCATTTTTTGGACCGAATGCAGCCATGGGGACTGGGGTGATGGCTTTTCAAAGTGCTGGATTGTGGCTGTTCAGACACTGTGTCTGAGCGGCCCGTGCTGCAGAGCGGAGACTATATGCCTGCAAAATTATTCATTAGAAAATGATTGGGAAAAGTAAATGAGTTTTGTGATGCTTTTTTATTTCATTTATCACAATTACATACAATTCATGTAAAAAGTTTTCAGGAATCTTAAAACACAGAAAGCAGAGTTTTATATGAGCAAATCCCATGGAAGGTAAGGGCACATTTCAGGGACAGAGATGCCCATTCTTGCCCAAGTCTTGGCCATAATGAGTTTAGGACAGGTTTTAATTCCCAAATTGGTGATGTTCAAAACTTTGCTGGAAGTTGCAGCTCCTTAGTTCTTAGTCCTGTGGCACGGGTCATTAGGGACTGCAGCATTTTGGCTGCCCCACAAGAAATGTATTTCCATGAGTTTTAAATATTATTCTTTGGTACTAACCTTGCAGTAACAGTATTTCCCAGAGGAAACTCAAGTTTTAGGGCTTCATAATTTTCAACGTAAATCACTTTGGAACCCTACATTAAAGGGGAAAACTCTCATAAGATATTTATTTCACAACTGTAATTATAAAAATAATGTTCTAATATGGAAAAAAAAAAGACTAATAAATGGGAAAATCCACAGAAAACCCCTTAGCATCTAAAACCAAGCCAGCCCAGTGACTCAGATATCTGTTGTTATTGCTTAGTGTTCTTAAAGAACTTTCTCTGATACTATCTTGGAAGACTAATAACTAAATGAAATAAGATGCACTTTTCCTGTCTTAGGTAGGGCTGGTTCTTAAAGCTAACAGTGCAAAGTATAGCCTCATAGTCTTTAAACATTAAATAAGCATTTCACGAAGGCAGTTGCTGTAACGGAGGCCTGGTGTGTGTTTCTTCACCCAATTATTTTGGTGAGTCCCACCTGAAGGACAGAAATAAGCACACTCATTTTAGTAGAAATGTCTCAGTAACTTTTAGATGGTGACAAAATTAGACTTGTCACTATGAACTCTTGGGGTAAGTACACTTGATAGAAATGCCACTTCCTTCATTTTGCATACATTCAGAATTGGTACCTTATATGATGTCTGCAGCTTGGGCAGTGCCTGTCATTCTGTGAAGAAAAGAGCAAGCTAACATGGAATTTGTTCTTCCCAGTGATACTGTTTGGAGGTTCAGCTCTCTTTTTGCTGCCTGTACTGCTGTCACCCAGGATTAAAAGTTGTAGATAAACCAAGGCTGCAGGGAGGCATCAGCAACTTGGATGAGGATTGCAAAGATGCATCAGAACAGCGTGGGCAATGACTTCTGGGAAGATCATGAAAAAATAAAGTATGGCTAATGGATCTGAGCTCCTCTCCCTTCCCTTTTTGGCAGTCATTCATGGTAGCACAAAGTAAGTATAAAGCCTGGCGCCAAGACAAAATGCTAGTGATTTATGCTTGCTTTAAGAGATCCTAAAGCCAAGAGGGATCCTTAAGGGCTTTCCTGAATTAATTCCTGTTTGAATTAAAGCTTGAAGCTTAAGCCAGACCTTGCAGGACTGCAGCTGCCTGCACCATGGCTGTAGCACCAGGGGCTGAGCACACAGACCACCTTTGTCAGAGGGCTTGGGTTCAGCTGGGTATGTGAGTGAGCCTGCCAGCAGGTTTGTGGGATGGTTCGCATGCTCAGACCCGAGCACGGGAGTGCTTTGCTGGATGGGGCGCAAGGATATCTCTTCTGGGCTGCCCTGTGTCTGCTGGCCTACGGACTTCACTGCCAGCTGGAGGGATGGCATCCTGGTGTGTTGGGGTGAGCCTCGCTGAGCATCTGGACCCTTCTGAGTCCAGCATGGGTCGCGTTTGTGAGCAGAACTGACACAACAAAATTGCCAGAGCAAGTAGCATGAGGAGAGTTTTCCCACTTTGGCAAGCAGGCCAGTGGGATCCAGTGAAAAACAGAGACTGAAGGAGTGAGTGTCTGAGCCTGGTGATGAGCTGAGATGTGCCAAACATCCTGCTCAGCCCAGGCGCTGACTCCTATTTTGGATAAGACCCCTTTGCTCCTGTGAATTGGTTGCGCGGGGGTGCTGAACTACATTTCCTGTCCCATCTGCTTCGGTGCCACCGAGTATTAGGTTTTCAGATCTGCCCTGTGTTCCTTCTTGTTGATAGCATCCTTCAGACCAGTTCCATCTCCAGGGGGCATGAAGTGTTGTGGGGTTTTTGTTGTTGTTCTTTTTGTCTTTTTAACTTAAACCTGGTATTTCTATTTGAAATCAAAACATTCAGAATTAAAATGAGTTCTCATCATTTCTATATTAACGTTTAAACCCATCGTAATATCTTAAATTTACATAAACCCAATATTTAAGCATTAGACATTTCCTATTAACATGTAAAGAAAGCTACAACCCAGGGAATTCTCCGGCTAAACACATGAAATTATGTTTAATTGCAAACCATTTGAGTTCAGAAGAGCAACTATCATCAATCCTTTCTTAGGCAAAGGTGTACGTGAGACAAGGTCTCTTCTAGCCCTTTGATCGTATTAGGATCAGCAACAATTGGCTCAAGTTGCTAATTATGGAGATAATTTTCTTCATATGAGGACTCTCATTTAAATGCAAATCATGGTTGATGTTTTCTTTTGTAGCCAGTGCACCTATTAAAATACTTTTTTTCTGTATTGTTAATTGAATTCCAGCTTCGATCCAAAAGCAGTTTGACACAAATTGCAGGTAAAATTAATCATCTAATAAATAAGAAATGTAAAAATTAGGAAAAAGTATAATTGCTAACCATTGTGTGTTATCAGCATAAGAAAATTTGAAGTTACTGTAATGACACAACCAGTGGTAACTGTTACCAGGCAATCAGAATTATTCTTTTTCTTTGGGGAAGATTAACAGGTAACTAGGATTGTACAGTAGGACTTGAATTAAAATGTTTTGGCTGCAGTCAATGGCTCCTAGGTCAAACTTCTATTGAGATCATACTTCTGCTTTGCATAGTGTTCCCTTTGATGTTTTCCGCTCTTTAAATGCCCAGGCTGGGTTTAGCGTGCATTGCTTTGGAGGTGAAGGGGGAGCTGATGCCTCTCTCACCCCCCCTGGCTCCAGAGCAGCAGTTCCCCTTCCCTCTGCCCGGCCCATCCCTGGGCTGGGGGTGGTATCTGGTGCATGAGCTGAGGTGTTGGGCTGAGGATCTGGTCTAGGGGAAGGGAGAAAACAGCCCTGGCAGTGCATCAATGCAAAAAGCTTTGTTACTGGTGGATTGGGCTCCATCTTTTCAAGGGGCAGTTTTTTGCTCTGTTACAGGAAAGGATCCAGACTAAAGATGCTTGGTCCACTTCTCTGTTGGCCACAGAGTACTTGTGCATTGGGGCAGAAAGCAACTCCTAACCTGTTGCTCTGTTACAGGAAAGGATCCAGACTAAAGACACTTGGTCCACTTCTCTGTTGGCCACAGATACTTGTGCGTTGGGGCAGAAAGCAACTCCTAACCTCGTAAAATATGGGCAGTCCAGCTGAACCTCCCTGGTGAAGAAGGGATGTCCTCTGTTCTGAGGCATTCAGGAAAGGACTGTTTTCTCCTGTTATTTAAGAAATCCATTCCCTTTCTTATGCAAAGCATATAGTAACAGCAACAGAAAGCATCATTAACCTTCCTCTCATTTGGGGAGGAACTGGTTGACTGCACTAAAATTATTGCGAGTGATATATTAGATAACAAACAGGAATGCTAATTGGAGGCAATGTCAGAGGAGAAGTGTCTGAGGGACAGAGCGCAAGGCAATACCTGCACTGGTCTCGTTCTCTGTGCAAAGGACTGCGGTAAAAAGGGAAATGACGGAGGGCAAAGCTGAAGCTGTGTCGAATTGCTGTGGGTTTAATGTGTTTGCTGTACCCTGCCTTGGTGGCAGAGAACATGCCGCTTTGCACCCAGTTTAATTTCAGCCCAGGGCCAACTTCCAGGGGATGAAAATTTGAGTGTGGTGGAGAACATTATTGCCTGCTTTTTCTGGCTGCAAAAAAGCTTAATTGTTTACTCTTTGCTCTGCTCTGTTCTATTGTCTCTCCTAAGAGTGTTCTATAAAATCTACATATCCAAAATTGCCCATGCTGACTTCTTAATGAGGAAACAGTGATGTGCTCATACCTTGGGACTTCAGATGTCACCAGCTGAATTGGTACAACAGATTGAAGTTAGATGGATGGCAGGTTGAAAATGGTCTCGGTCTGTGCTACTCTGAGTTGCTTAGTGTCCACTGGAGAAAATGCAGTTCTGTGTCAAAATTGCACTCTTTCTCATCAAAAGATCAAAATGCGAGTTAATCTTCTGCCCTCTTGTGAATGTGTGTGTGGGAATTACTCTGTTGTGGGGTGTTCGGTTTTTGTGGGTGCTGTTTTTTTCTAGATCACCAAGTGTGCTGTTGGTTATGAATTAGAGGTTTTACATCAGGCCTCTGGAGACACACAGCTATCTTCTTACTATCTTCTTGTATGCCATGAAGCCGTTCAAAGGAAAACTGAAAGCCATTTTCTCTAAAATAATAATTTTCCTTTGCTCTATTTAGTAACATCCAGTATTACTAAAACTGGGCTTAAATATTCTTTCATTCTGGTTTTTTGGGTTGTATTTGCTGGTTCCCAGTTCAATCCCATTTAATCAGTTCCGGGGTGAGGGGCCCAGTCCCCCTACCTCTGGCCCTCTTCCTCAAACCAATGTGCAAAGCCATGCAGCGAAAAAGTTGTCCAGTACAGTGACTATATTGTGGTCAAAATGCCGCTGTGGTCTACACAGTTGTACTGTCAAAGATAGAACAAATGGAAGAAATTTCTAATTACTTGTGGACTAAGAGAGAAAAAGACTTGCAGCTGAACCGGAGATTTATAACCATTGCAGTTCATTCTTCTCCAGTTACTTCGTTCCAAGATCTGTAACCACCATGTTGTCCCCATTTCTGTCCAAACTTAATTACATTAGTTCATTAAACAACTGCAGTCTACTTTAGTAGCTAGTTTTCTAATTAAATATCTGTATGATTTTGTTCTCAGTCCTGGACTTTAGGCATCTCATTTGTTGCTATCCAGTGTCTTGCATCTTTTATGTATTTTTTAACTTCTCAGGCATGTTTGTGATGGGGGGCTCAGCTCTGGCTGTGTTACGGTAGGGTTGGAAATGCTGGGTATAAGGCTCTTTCTTCCTGCAGAGGAAGCAGCCGTTTTTGCCCTATCCAGTAACACACAGGAGGTGCCCAGTTTGACTATGCTGTTCTGCAGGGTTGCCTTGTGCGGTGCATACGGCTGCATGCCAGCTTCGTCGCATGCCTCATCAGGCTGTGTCCCACACCCAGCCTGTAGCTTGCAGTGCCCTCCGGTGAAGGGCACTCAGCAACCAGGGGCATTTCTGCCTCCCGCACGCACACGTAGCTTGAGGAGGATGCTCTGAAATAGGTGTCCTCAGCGCGGGTTCTGTCTGCTGGGGACATGCTCTGAGGCGGACGGGCTACCCTTCGGTATGCTTGGATTTGCTTAGTGCCAGGGGAGTCCATGGATTCAGACATGGACATGGATTATGGATTCAGATACCATGACCTCACACAAGGAATACATATTTGTCTTAAAGAGGATTGTAGCTCACTTGTTTTAAAAGAATAATGTGAAGTCAGCATAGGTGGCTTTTCTTCCTAAAGCCAAATAAATCTCTGTGAGGCTCCTTCGTCACACCCAGAAGATATCCAGTGGGCTCAAAGTCACAGGCTCAGAGTTTTGCCTGTGGAAGGAAGGTCTGAAGAAACTGGGCTTAAAGTAGAAATAAAAAAGGAAAAAAAGTGCGTAAAACTCTGTTCTGTGTCTCAGTCACAGCGGTTTAAAACTGAGTTAAGTTTTCAAATTTTTGTGTAGTTTTTCAGGGTTTTTTAAAGTCTGAGTACTTGTGTTGCAGCTCAACTGCAGTGCTCAACTCGGCCTGCAGGACACTGAAAACTGCATTAATAATGGTACAGAATCTTAAATGCCCTGACATTATGCTGCTACTGCGCTGGCTTTAAACATTTACACATTTCAAGGGAACAGCAACTTAATTCTTAATTAAAATCACTAAGCAAATGCAGATTATATTTAATTTAAATATTTATAGAATTTGTTTAAGCTTTCAAAATAGATTAGATGTTGAACAGCAAAACTGCTGACATCTGAATGATAATTTTACTTCCGATCCCAATTAAGAAACTAGTCAGGAATACAGCTAATAAGTTGCTGTGTTTGAGGAAATATTTTATCATGTTGTATGTACAGAGGGCCTTTAAAAATAAGTGCTCTCAAGTCAAAGGGGTAGTTTAGAAAAATTTTGTTACTTCTGGTCATATTTTAAAATCTTGTATCATCTCTTTGCTTTCTGGGAGTTGCAGTTCGTCCTGTTATCCTGAATACAAACTGCAAAAAATATATAGTGAAGTAAAGAGAGATGAAGACATACCAACATGCCAATCCACTTGATTTTTATAATGTTAAATTGAAGCACACGATTATCCCAGTTGATTTTAATTAGTCAACACATATAAAGTTAAACATTTTTGTAAATGTTTTCAGAGTAGAAGTATAAGCCTGCATAAAGAACATTTTTACAACCTTAAGGATGTTCCTATCTGTAAAGAAATTCTTTGTGTTAAAATCTATCACAATATTCCCCCAGCAATATTGTTTTGGCAATCCAGTATATCCTTTGACACAGCATTTTCTCCGATATGGTTCAGCCACGAGTAACAGATCACCAAGGCTTTTTCAGAGACAAGTTCAGACTCTTGGCTTCTCACTCACTTTCCTCAAAGCCAGTTTTATTCCCTGCTACGCCTTTTCATTTTGGGAGACACCTTCTCCCTTGCATTCATCTGTCACATACCTAAAGGTGGTCAGATCCTACAGGCTTTAGGATGATTTAATGTAAGCATAGGTTTCATTTTGCAGAAAATGTTAATGTGCCCCAAATAACCTGGTATCTATGAAATCTTTCAGGATTGGGTTTGAACTTTTTGGAAATCTGTTTGGTACTGTCTCACATTTTTCAGTGTGGCAACAAGTGCTCCTGAGATTGAAAGGCTTCTTGTGCCTTTCATACAGAAGTTTCAACAGTACTTCTTAGCTTGCTTTATGGTCTTCCATTGTTTTTTACTCTGTATTATGAAGCCTGCAAGGGCTACAAATCTTTTCTGGTTTTCCTTTATAATGCTACTAAACGTTAGGTGAATTGGTTTAGATTGTATTTCCTGTCTATTTGTACACTGCTGTTTAGGCTGGAATATAGCATGCGTTTAATTTTTTCTTGGCCTCATTGCATTTCATTCCTTGCTTCACTGCATCATCTGTCTTGTTAGTCCATAAATTTGATCTATTCTAATAGCTGTAAATTCTCTGTTTCCTCTAGCTGTGTGTCACCAGCAAGACTAGTCACTTTGGAAATTGCATTCCTGAAAGGTCATTTTATAAAAGATAGAAGAGGAGGCATTGTGCAATGTTGATGCTTAAGGCTGGGGGCTCATCGCCCGTCTTAGCCTTAAAGCAGCTGCTGCACTCTGTTCTCTGTGCATAGGCTGATCTTGGTAGCTATCACACTCTGAGATTGTCCCCAAGGTGAGTTTGGCCTCAGACTGGGATTTGTGATCTGTATGCAGTATAAAGTACGTTGTATTTGTAGAGTTACCAGTTCAGAGTCACTTTCGTTCGAAAAGGGACTTTTTAAAGACAGAGATTTTGCAGTACTTAGAAACAGACAGTGATGCAGAGCCAAGAACATGCAATGGCTGTTCCACCACAGGGTCCATTTATACAAGAACACATTGTGCAAGTCTCCGGTGCCTCACGCAAGGCTTTTTCCCCTCGTCCAAGAGCACCAATGGGTTGGTACTTGGTATATTGATATGACCATCAGTCTGTGGCTTAGCTGAGATCAGTTACAATCAGTAACTTTGCCCTGTTTTCCACGCTTACAGATGTCAGTGCCTCCGCTATGCTCTTGTTTCTGTGCCCATCCTGCTCTGGGGCTCGTTTGGTGACACAGACACTGTGTGCTGCAACCAACACGCATCTGCTAATGGCCTTCTTTGTATTGCTGCTGCTTCTCCTCCCACCTCCCACTCATTTAGCTCTTCTGCACTGTGTTAGATATCCACAGGGAACTCTTGGGCAGAGATTCCCATCTTTCTTGGATGCCTGTAGCAGAATGAGCCTTGGCTGGTGCTGCTTCGATGCTCTGGGGTCTGTGTCAGTGTATAGGGTGCATTGTTGAGTTTTGTCATTAATTTTCTTAGGCTGTGCAGCAGGATGTTCTGGAGAAAAAGCTGTTCTGTTCCTCAAACTATCATGCTCTTTCCTGAGCTCCTGTGCTGGACTGACTCCCCTTGCCAGCCATGATACATGTGTTGGCTCATGGTGATGATTCACACTTGCAAAAGGATACAATTCACTGTCTCGGAGTTGAGTTTGAGATTCATGAATGGAAAGAACAGGATGAAAGCTAAAATCTAGTATTTATTTATCTTGAATCCCTCCATCCAGTTTTTCACTTCTTTCTGATGTTTCAAACGGATGTCTGATGATGCTGTAGACATAACGAGGGAGAATAAGCAGAGATGCCAAGTTTTGGTTGGGTTACTGAAGGGCAGTTTCCAAAACCATGTGACACTACTACAGCAAAATTCAACTCTGCTATTTCATAGAGGTTTTAATTAATTTGTGTATTTATTTGATTTTGTGAGGTTTAGTAGCTTTTTAATGACCTTTTGAATTTGTTACACTTTGTGGATGAACCAGATTACTTACTTTTCTAGCCTGGGGATACTGCAACATCAGGTGTCATGCGATGCTGGCTTTGATAGTCCAGCGGTGATGGCAGAAGGTAGACATTTTCCCTGCTGCACAGAAATATGCCATTATATTCCCTTCTGCTCATTTGTCAGATATGCTACTTTAATTCCTAAAGTTAATGCTTAGGGGTCTGATTGCTGAAAAATTTTGGTGACAGATTAAAGCTTCCTGGCTGGAGCTGGCTTGTGGTGTTTGCAGAAGAGCAATGCAAATGAGCACGAGCTTGTGCCAGAGAAGAAATTCAGATGTAAACCAAACTAAATAAACAAATAAATTGGAGTGGAGAGTGGTTTGAGCTCTTGCTGGTGTTTGTGTGAAGAAGGCTGCTCATATTTGAAGCTGTTAATTGTAGGCAATTTTTGCTTGGTGTTGTGAGGTTTGAATTACCCAGAACTATGTTTGATGATAAAATACTAAAACCACAACAAATTCTGAGTAAGCCACAGCTGACCAAGTCATCGATTAATAGCATTTTATCTAATGGACTAATTTAATGGGGATGTTTGAAGTGTACTGTGTGGAAGCCACAGATAGATTCAGATTTCAAGGATGAACATCATTCTTCATTCCTCCCTCTCTCTCTCTCTTCCCCCAAAGGTCTCCCTGGTGTATTTGAGTCTCCTCCCTGGCGAGCCGTTCAGCTTGGTGCCATCCACAAGTGCAGAGTGCTTTGAAAAGAGCCCGCTGAAGGCATGCTAACAAGACCCTGAGTCCCAGACGGAGCAAACTTTCCTAGCTTGTCACCGTACACTGGCCTCAAATCCTCTTTGGAGCAGCTGCCACAGGGACTGAACTTTGCTGTGTCCTGCTGTGCTGCCCGGGACCTTCTCCGAGTTAGCAAAGGCTGATGGAAACGTGCATCTAGGTGGTACTGCGTGAGGGTGAGGCACTCACCCGGCTCCCTGACGGCCTCTCCCTGCCTTGGTCCCTGCCAGCAGCGCTGCATCACCACGTGCCAGATGTGCAGGCAGCTGCAGAGAGCTTCCCTCCCTGAGCGCGGGTGCTGCTTTTCAAGAAAAAAGTAAGTGTTGGTCAGTAAATGTTGGGCAAACGTATTACTGCATGTTCAGATAAAAAAAATGCTGCTCCTTGGGGGCAGGTGAGGGGGGAAGGGCAATCCAGAAGTCTGGCAGGGGCCAGGTTGGCTGGATTGGGAAAGTACCAGTGCCAACCCACTGCCCTTAATTTGGCTGGCAAGGCAGCTCTCCCAGATGAGGTGAAATGAGGTGAACCCAAGATTCTCTTTAGGAAGGCTTATTCAGGTTAAAATGCTTTGTTAGCAAATACTGCTTCTGACTTCCTGTAACTTTTAACTAGACCCAGTTCATCTCTGTCTTTATTTTAAATTGAAAGGTACTTAGGTAAAGTGTTCTCATCAGCCAGACCGCTGCTGGGTTCGTACACAGAATAGCTCAGTGTTCATCTGTCTCATTTCTTTACTGTCCAAGGTGAATCTCAGGGGACTAAAGCTCTGAACCAAGTGGCTTCAGGCTATTCATCTGGAAAACAGAGCCACTTAGACCTTTGTAAAGAAAATAATTTAGTAATCAGTGCAAGAGACCTGTCTTTAAGCCAACCCATTTGGAAAAATTGCCAGTGTAGTAATTACAAACATTTTACCACAATAATACTGATGATGCTTTTCCATAATTGCCAGCATTTCTTCCCTGCAACTACAGGACTAAGCTGGTTTTGCATTTTCTTACGTGATCCTGCATCAGAAAAGCTTTGTAATTTGAGATTGACCCTGCAGAGCTGGACATTGAGCAGAGACATTTATCTGAGTGTTTTCCTGCAGACCGATGCAGCTAAAACCATTGGGAAGTGAGGATGTGTTGCCTTCCCAGCTCTTCACGTCCTCCCTCTGGGGCAGGGAAGGACCCAGGTCTCTGCTCTCTTGTACAAAGGGGAAGAAGGGGCCAGAAAAGGGTTTGTTTGCCTGCACCCCCCTGCCTGCCAGCCCCTACAATCAGCAGCATGCACTGAGTATCTCTGGGAACACACCAGTGCCTATGGCATGGCACTGGTCTCCCACCCTGCCCTCCCGGTGTGCTGATTCTGTGTAATCTCACCCAAACGCAGAAGTTTCTCTTGTAAAATATCAGTGAATCTGTGTTTCTGTGCATTCAGATAGTCAGATATGTATAGTGATTCTTAGAACTTTTATTTAATCTCAGACTTCAGGCACTTATCATACAGTTTTTCCTCATTCTTATTGCAAGTGAGAAAACATTTATTTGTGTTCTTGAACCCATATTTAACAGTGCAGTTTCTCTACTGTCCAACCAGCAAGGCCCCATGGTGCTGGATATTGCACAAACACAAATGATACTGCTTTCTATTTTGAAAAGATTACTGGCAAGCAAAATTTGGGGTGAAATACTGCATAAGAGCAAAGTGGAGGGTTGGCTGGTCTACAGTTGCAATGTTAATCCCAAGGTTTTGGTTGTGTGGTTTTTAGCTTTGCTTTTGTTTTGATTATCAGTTGTTTATAATATTTTGAAACCCTAAGTATTGGGGTAAGGATCGAGCTCCTGTAGCTGTGTGGGTGAGATGCTCGCTGCTGTCCAGCAACAGTTATGTCTTATTTAAGGCAAACTTCTGCAGGGGTTTGCTCACCTGGTTTGGTTGCTGTGGGCTGCTTTGTGGAAAAAAAGACATGGGGCAAAGTTTCCCTTGAAGCTGTGAGCAGGGACACAAGTAGCAGGCGTTTTCCCGTTTCAAACTCGGGGAATCTCAAGGCACCACTTTTTCCTGTAGTTCATGGCAAGGCTGTCCAGGCCCAGCACACATATCAAATCTAATGTTTTTCCACCTTGGTTTCATGCGATAAAGGTTGCTGCCTATTTAAATTAAAAACATGGAAATTACAACACAGAGCAGAAGTGATGTGCCTTGAGGAGCTGTGCTGTAACTTGTAGGAGTAAAAGCCTTCTCGGTGCCTTTCACAGGCTGGATTACATTGCTGGCAACTATTTTCAGCATTGTTTTTTGAGCAATATTAGCAAGGAAGGAGCAGAAAGAAAATAATTTTAAATTGATGAGTCCTAAAAGTTCATCTGTAAGGTTTTCACTAGCTTCATAAAAGCTCCTGTAGACTTAATCTAAAAAATTACAGCAGAGATGGTTTATCTCCTTTTCATAGTCTTGTCTTTAAGCCTCTTGATTTTTAATATACTACCCTTGTCCCTTAAAATCCAGAACAGTGTTTTGAAGTTTTACAGACTAAAAAACTGGTAGGTACCAATCCTGGCGGATGTTTTGAGCAACACTGGAGCAGGGAGCAGGGAGGCAGAGGTCTGCACACAAGGACAAGAACCCCAGGGGGTCTCACTGGTGATGGGAGACTTGTGAAGTCTCAGACGGCTGCAGCACATCCTCCTCTGCTGCAGGTAGAGATGGGATGGGGTTTTTTTGCCCCAGCTCTCTGTGTAGTTGCTAGTTTTTTCAATGAGTCCTTGATTCTGTAGAGATCTGGGGAGCAGCAGATCCAAGTGGCCAGAGTGACTTCTCAAGAACAGGTAGGACAGGAATCAGTGATGAATGAGCTGGCATTGGCAGCAGAGGTAACCAGCGACTGCTTCAAAAGGCAGACTCTTCTCTTGTTCTTTGAGATATTCCTAGTATTTGAACAAGTCCATCAAACAACAAACTTTAAAAACATGTTTATTCCAGAAATGGCACTAAAGAGGATGTGGAGGCTGTTATGCAAGTTCTGCTCAAGGAAAACATTTGGTTTTCCTCTCCTTGCAGGGATGGGAACGATTTACTAGAATTTGTCTAAAAATTCATAAGAAAATCACTTTCTGGTGGAGAAATAAAAAAAGCCTTAACAGTAATGACCCATTATTGCTTGTAGATTTTGATAGCAAAGATTTGTAATTTTGGAGAGGGTAACTATTTCCATGAAAAATCCATGGTTGCTGTGAAGAACCTCACATATATTTTCTGAGGGAGCATTTCTCCCTGTTGATGGCTGCAGCAGAACTGTTTCGTGCTTCTCCCAGGGGAGAAAAAGCCCCCCTAACCTATGAGTGTGCACCATGTGATCATCTGCAGGATTTACCAACTGCCCTGCCAATCACCGAGGGGATGTAGGTTAGGATGTAGGTTAGGATGTAGGTTAGGATGGCCTGACGTCAGTGTGCAGAGACCAAGAGGAAGGGATGCCACCTCCAGCTGGATTTCATACAGAGCTATTTGTCTCCGAAAGTGCCAGCAGATTTAAATTACTGCTGCTGTTGTCAACAAGTTCCTCCTGCATGTTCTTTAATAATTAAGGTCTTTGGAGGTTTTGGATCACTTATGTTTCTCAGTGTAGCTACAAATTGTGAACATGAGGGTTGCATCAAGTATATTAAATAATGAATTGAAAGGCAGAGGTTCCTTTCCTTCTGTGTACTTTGGGTAGAAAAAATCCTGCTGACTTTGCATTCCTTGCTACGGAAAAAAGGTAACCTGGTCAGGTAGCTAAATGTTAACTTGAAGCTTGCCAGCTTTTTCACTTGATGTACAATTGCTGTTAGAAACAGCTGCTGCCTTCCTGCTACCAGTACCAGAGAACATGTTGTTTGATGACTTAATCACATGTTATTCCACCAGTAACCATTTGTGGATTCAAATACAGATGTAGGATGATAATTTGGGGGTAAAAAAATCATTTCCTTGAATTTAAAATATGCTCATCATAAAACAGCCCCTGTCCTGCTCCTGATACGCTCTGAAGCCACATGTAAGAGGGTTGTGCACCTAGTTCCAACTATGCAGGGCAGTAACTTTGCTTTTATTACTTGCAGCAAATTTTTGTAGAATGTGATGGCTAAAAAAATGAGGCCAGCTTTTTTTTGTAAATGTTAAAACTCTATCCATGTCTCTTTGCAGTTTATTCTTTATTGTGTGATTACTTTCCATACAGAATGAATGAAACTCACCTTTCAAAAACCTGAGCGTTAAAATGAAGTGCCAAAACCTTAGATAGACCTGGCTAATATGGACAAACCGTAGTGTCTTCTAATCATTTCTAGTTAGTGGTCCTTATTTAAAAATAAAATTTAAAATATGTATATAGTCTTGGAGTTTTATAAAGCAATTGCAGCTGAAGGAATATCTATATGGAAATTGGTTGGGGAAACTTCTTGCAGCATCACAATTTTGGAATTGTATGGAGGAGCAGGAATAAAAAAACTGTGAACAGCGGGTCCAGTCCTCATGCTTCAGTGGAGTGATGCTGATAACTTTTAGTTGGTATGTTGGTCACTCATTAAACCCAAGGGGAAACAATGGGCACTTGGGAGTTTTCTTTTCCAGCCAACAGTATGGATTAGTGCAAGGAAAAACCCAGAAAAACATAATATTTATTGCTTCTTGTCTACACAACCCATTTCTGATGCTTGTGAGATTGATCTGAGGTTCCTTCTCTGTTCCTGTCCTATTCTCAGGCTACATGTTGTTGACCCATTATTAGTTGCTTCATTATATGAAGTTTCCTGTGTTCTGCCAAGCAATGGTGGTAGGAAACTAGTGTTTCCAGGGAACAGAAGCAAGCTGGAAATGCCACTCCCTTTTCCTCCATATAAGACCCACGGGTTTGCCTGTTTCTTTTTTATCACCAGGTACATAGAACCAGCCATGTTACTAGGGTGGAGCAGAACAAAGAAAGTACAGGCCCATGAAATGTCTTGGTTTAAGTCTTCAGGGAATCTGGGCAGTGCTCTGCTTTGCCAAAGAGCAGATCCTAGGTATGATATGCCCATTACCAGAGAAATGACATCCTTCTCACTTGTACTTGGCTCAAAAAATGATGCCTGAAACACGCAGTCAGACCTCATTACTCTCCCTTGACTTGTGTCTGTGCTCAGCAGTGTGGATGAGTAGTTTCTCTCTCTTGTCTTTTTAAGTGTTTCTGGACTGCAGAATAGCTGTTGTTTGTCTACTGTGAAAGTGGATGAGGTAAATATTTACCAGTGCTGGTTTTGGTACCAACAGTAGTGCCTGGAAGCAGGCTACTGAGTTTCAGGTTCGGTTT